GCTGTTTTTGTTTTAGTTTCCCATTGAATTAACATGGGAAAAAATTAATTTATGTTTGGAATTTTATACCTCTGTATCAAAGTAACTTATGGCAATGATCATTGCAGTTTCTTATATAAATTTCCCCCTTTCAGCTCCCGTCTGCTAATTGTACCAGAAAATTTGATGTTAATCAAACTTTGACCTCTAATAACTCTAGAAGAAATCAATTTATCGAAAAATAATAAGAGACCTTTTTTGTAGAGCGTTAAATTGTATATAAGAAACTGCAATGATCATTGCCATAAGTTACTTTGATACAGAGGTATAAAATTCCAAACATAAATTAATTTTTTCCCATGTTAATTCAATGTGAAACTAAAATAAAAACAGCGACCTCTTAGAGTTGAGCTGGAACGCCCATATTTGGTGAAGATTTTTTTTATATTAAATAAAAACATTCGAGAGGGTAAGAGCGAAAAAAAATTTTTTTTTAAGCACCCTAATATATATACATACGAATTTAAATGTGTGCATATCAAAAACAAACTTTTTACGAAAACAAAAGCTGATTCAGGAAAATTATCATAGGAGAGTTGTGGTTACCCACAATTTTCATTTACATATAGGAAATAAAATCTTTGATCATTTAAAAACTTTTATCTGGATTCCAAACTTTCAAATATAAATTCATCAAAATTTAAATAAAAATCATAAAACATCTGCTCTGTATTCTGTGGTCTATGTTCTGTATTCGAAATTCCATCTAGGACTGATTTATCCTTAGTTTGCTACCCTAATTTAGCAAGCACATCCTCAGCCGACAGATAATGTCGCCATCAACCGTTGAAATCCTAATTTTACAACGTCACGTTTTTCCCGAAATCCAAAGATCAGACGGTCGTTATACGTTATCGCTATATACGGCGGCAGACAGTTAAGGAAAAACCGAACATGAATAAGGTGGAGTGAACTATCAAGAGATCTCCCCGAAATCTCCAAACCCCAAAACGCACGGATTACGCTATTCTAAATGTAAAATGTCATCAAGAGAACAAAAGGAATGGATATGTAGGATTCTTATTTGGGGCTTTAGAATCCAGGCGTTGTAGAAATTCAAGTAGGTAATAGTTATTTATGTCATTATTAGAGATGGGATTTTACTATTAGTAAAAGTGGCGGCTGGTGGATTTTGGGTATACCAATATCTCAGTTATTAGACATGGGACCCACAACAAATTTATAATAGTTTATAATGACATTAAATAAACAAGTTCGGCGCAAACAAAATTTAAATTGAAGTTTGCGAAAAAAAGTTTGTTTTTCCTGTCGCCTCACCTGCCTCCAGGCCCCCCTATTTGAGATAATTTAAATTAAAGTGGTCCAATTTATTATCTACTATAATTTATCGACAAATTTAAAATTTTATTTAAAAAATCCAAATGTTACAGGTTTTATACAATTTTAAATATTTTTTTATTTTAATAAAATAAATAATAAAAATTTAAAATCGAATAAAATCTGAATTATCTCAAATAGGGGGGCTGGAGGAGGGTGAGACAACAGGAAAAACTAACTTTTTTCGCAAACTTCAATTTAAATTCTGTTTGCGCCGAACTTGTTTATTTAATGTCATTATAATTTATTATAAATTTGGTGTGGGTCCCATGTCTAATAACTGAGATATTGGTATACATAAAATCCACCAGCCGCCAAATCATTTTTAGTACTATTACCCTCAAAAATTTTATATGCACAAGTATTTTAAAAATATTTCTGTCACAATGATTCATAAATATTTAATGTGAATTTTTTATTGTCAGCAAGTGTATGCTTATTTAAAAAAACATTTTGGAGGTGCCGCCGCTTTAAAAAAATTATAAAATTCATGATGGTTTTATTTTATTTTCACAAGATGTATTTGTCAGTTATGTGCTAATTTTTTAAATCATAGAATCTTATAATTTTATACAATAATAAATTAATTAATTTTACCGCCTAAAATTTACTTTTCAGTAGGTACTTATTTTCGTAAAGTACCTACCAGGTAGGTCCTCCCTAATTTAAGAATTTTCTCAATCAAAACAATAAAAAAACGTTACCTATTTAGGTACCTATTTTTATAAATTTTGCAACATAAAATCCCGTCTCTAGTCATTAGTCTGAGCGAAGCACAAAAAGACACTTCTCAGCCGCATGGCATACAACATTTTATCAAGGCATAATTTTATTTGTCAAGGATGTTTGGCCACGATATTAGTGCTATGAGAAAATTTTGAAAAAATTAAGGGTTTTAGTAGAGTCCACATAAAAGACATTTTCAAAGTTTTAGAAAGATTGGCCGTCTGGTTTCCGAGTAAAAAATTGGGTTTTGGGATATAGGTTGTTTACAAAATGGGTTTATTTGTTCAGTAACTACATTTCTACAAAAAATCTTGACTATATAAATCGAATATATGCAGAAAAAATCGATTTATAAGTCTAAATTGGGGAATATGAGGCTCAAAAATACAAACGGCCATAAAAAAAATCGAGCTAACTTTTACAACCCCAGCGAGGGTTTTGCTATTGAAGGTATATTTTCAGAAAAAAATAGTCCGGTGCGGTTTGATTTCGATGACCTGAAAATTGTCGCACAGTTTTATAAGATACCTACTAAAAAATAATTTTAATTTATTTAACAAGTTCACGAAATTTATTTAGAAAAAGTGTGAGAAAGTTTTTGGAAGTTGAGGGGGTCATTTTAAAGAATTTTGTATTGTATTTATTTACACTTCCATATAGCATCGATCATGGGTGGCGAAGTTGTATTATAGTTATGTATTATGGTATTTTATCATAACAATATAACTTTTTTTAAAATTTTATCACTTTTGACATTTGAAATTTAAGGTAAATTATGGTTTTATTTTAATAAATACGTGATGAACTGAAAGCGCATTCCTTAAATAAGTCCTAAATTTTAAATGCTTTAAATATTTTCATATTATTGAACAAATTGTATTTTCGGTGAGTACCCTATACACTTTAGTGGTATACACTATAGTGGAAAAGTTTGGATTACAAAGATTATTTACTGTTTCTATGAAAACATTAAAATTTGTATTAGTACCAACCCTAAAAAAGCAAAAGAAGACGTGGATATTTTCCCTTTATTTTTGCGCATGATAAATAAAAAAAAAACATTAAATAAAATAGGGACAACGAAAAGTTTTTGTTTTGTCGAGTTATGGAATTATTTAAATTTAAAGAATGTATGTTTTAAATTTTAAATGAAACAATTTATTTATGATAATAATTTCTATAAAGTTATACAGTTCTGTTTTTAATTTAAAAAAACATAAACTCAATTAGAATATTAAAAAAATACCTTACACTGTTTGGTGTATAGTATATACGAAGTCAATTGAAACAGCAAAAAACCTAAAAGTTTACACATCTGCGGCATTTCCTTTGTAGACCAAAGGCGTGCGATACGACATTACATTTAATTAATTATATTTCTCACAACATGTATATTTTATATTCATAGATTTTAAGTGTAATTGTGTTTTTATTGTCTTTATAATATTTTTTATTGAACAAATAAACGTATGATTACTATTAAAAATATTTTTAAGGTGCGCAGTTTTTACTGCATACCATTTTAAAGACAAAATAATATATAAACTCAAAACTACACACAAGTACAATAAAAAATAACGAAGATGTATAATAAAAATAATATATAATAATTGCAACCTAATATCGACAATCGATGCCACACCACTGTCTCGTGCCACTTGTTGTGCGAAATTATTTCGCCAAAATTATGAATTTGTATCTAGGGAAATAATCGACCAATAAGAATATGACAGTGACCAATAGCATCGGCTTAATTTATGACAAGTCTGCATCAAGTCCACGTTAATTCTAAAAAAATACATAAAAAGCATTGTTTTTAAGTTAATCCTTATACGAGACTAGGTCAACATATATTTCGTTGTTTTACTGTATACCATATATTCATAAAGGGTGTCCCATTAAGACCGCCTATTTTAAATTTAGTGTCATTTTTTTTGTGTCAATCGTACAGCGTTGTTGTTGGACAGTGGTTATGTGTGAACATTGAGGTTAAGTCATGGAGATTTACACGGACGCACAACGCATAGAAATTGTAAAAATCCACTATCGAAATGGTGAGAATTTTTCGGAAACGGTTTGAGGATATCGTGGATTTTTTGGTCACCATAACGCACCTTCTCGCCTTACTGTGGTCCGATTATAATCGTGCAATTTGAAACGATTGGGTCAATTCAAACCAAAAAGAGACATATCCATGTTCGTGCAGCTCGGTCTGCTGAAAATATTGCAGCAGTTAGTGAAAGTGTTGAATATAATTCTTCCACCTCGATTCGCCACCGTTCCCAGCAATTGAGACTATCTCGAAGCAGTTTACAGCGAATTTTGGCCAAAGACCTGCTTTTCATGCGTACAAGATTCGGTTGAAACAATATTTAAAGACAGCAGACCATGCACAGCAACGAAACCATGGAATTATTGAGGACAAAATTTGAAGGCAGAGTTATCTCGCGCCGCGAGGATGTGATGTGGCCAGGCCGATCATGCGATTTGACGCCGTTAGATTTCTTTTTTTGGGTTTTTTTGAAGGAAAAGCTTTATGCTAATAAACCAAGAACAGTTTCTAAACTAAAATATGAGATTCGACGGGTCATTGATGAAATTGAGCCGGCACTATGCCAAAATTTATTCGAAAATTTTGTCAAAAGAATCAACGTGTGCCGTCAGTCACGAGGCGGCCATTTATCGGATATTGTGTTCCATATTTAACCTCCATGTCTTCCCCCTTTATTGCAATAAAAATATCTTAACTATTTAAATAAACACGGCATTTTTTTTAAATTTTAAAATAGGCGGTCTTAATGGGACACCCTTTATTAATGCGTGATGCACTTTATTGATTGCACCCTATATTTCGTACTGTTTCAATTGACTTCGTATACTTGTTTCGCAAATATAAATAATAAACATACTAAACTAAAATTAAAATCAAGTTAACTTGCACCCACTTAAGATTCAACATGAGTTCCATTGAAGCATCCGATTTAAGGACGATCTACGAACAAATGAAGCAAGAAAGGAACTTCGTTCTGGGGAATCTACATAATTCAGAGGTAGCACTGCAAAAACAATTGCTTACACTAAATTTGTTTAAACAAAAATACAATATTACTTCAAGTGAGTTACTGAAGAAAGCTGAATCTGCATTAATTTCCGAAGATAGTTCTAGAAGTAATGTAACAATAGTAACAATTCCCAAAGAAGATCTTAATCTGGCAAGTACAGCTTGTTTTACTCCAAATAGTATAGATACTAGCAATGATGTTTTGATTATCGATTCTGAGGACTCATTTCAAAAAGAAGTTATAGTATTAGAATCAGATAATGAAATCCAATCAACATATCAGGAACCAAGGAGTGAGTTTGTCAAAAACAAAAATGACTTCTTATCGTATAACCTAAGTCAATTGGTCCCAAAAGATGCAACTACAGTAGCATTAACTGAAGAACAACCATCCAAGAAACCTAGATTACAATCCATGGAAGTAATAGAAATAGGATCCAACGGAACCCAAATGGATGAACAGAAATACAAAACTATTAAGTGGGATATCTACACCAAAGCCACAAGGCAATTACTGGATACCTTTTTCACCAGAGACGTTCTTGCTAATTCTTCATTATCAGGACGCCCTAGCCCTGCATTTTTAAATTCAGGGAAGACCACTAAGAAGCCTTTGGACAAGAATATTATAGAAGATATCGTTGCTTGTGTGTCTAAGAATTGCAATGTACTACCCAGAATGGTTAGGCACTGTATTACCAGTAAGTGCCGATCAAGGAAAGCTTTTGAGGCGAAGTCTTAATTATGCTATTGTACTAATATTATGTTAATTTTACTAATTAAAACGTTTCCTTATATTTTATTGCGTGATTTATGTTATTTTTAAAACTTCTATCGTCAGAGAAGGAAGCAAAGTAAAACTATAATTAATCACAAATCAATAGGTACCTTTTTTTTAATTAAATAACTTTTGTCAAATATATATGTTGTTGAATGAAAGTTTTATTTTATGATAAACTTAATTTTCTGGTTATTTATCCATAGGCATGTTTATTGTTAAGTACATTTTTTCTTCTCTTATATTGTTTGTAAATGTTCAATATAAGTGCCTTAAGCGCCTCAAGCGGCATGCGCCACTTAAAGCTCCTCCCCCAAGGGCTTACCGAGGGATGACTTCTTTTAAAATAGTTAGTCAGGCTAGTACAGCCGCTCTAGAAAGGAACATTGTTAAATAATTAAGCTACCATTTAAGTCATTGTATTATTCAGCAGTTAACTGAATAAAGAGTTAAGTTTACATACTTCGTGTTCAATTCCTTTCTACTAAGCATCACAAAACAAACAACTTTACATTGGTCCTTCGAACCGGATATATACATATCCAAAGCAAACTTCGCATACATACACAACGAGTTTAAAGTGCAACGAATATTCATTTCAAATAATACGTAAAATACATCATAAACATCAAGTGCTAAGTGCAGCGAACATTCATTTCGTATCAAACGTGGAATACATCATACATATCGAGTGCTAAGTGCAGCAAACATTCATTTCGTATCAAACGTGGAATACATCATACATATCGAGTGCTAAGTGCAGCAAACATTCATTTCGCATCATACGTGGAATACATCATACACATCGAGTGCTAAGTGCAGCGTACATTCATTTCATATAATAGGTACGTGAAATACATCATACACATCGAGTGCTAAGTGCAGCACTGCATCTACACATACGCATTGGAATAAAACATCATCGTCGTATAGGATATCCCATACGAGTCAGAAAGTGAGTACCTTCCTTTACATACTATTTTCCTTTATATAAGTCAGTATTGATTCGCAATCAACATGTCAGAGTTAAGTAACTTAACGCGAAAACGCGGTAGTCTCAAAACTAAATTTACGAACTTTTCGAAATATTTAAAATCAGTGGAAGATGAACTGAAAAATAGAATTTCTACTGCTACTGATACAGGTAGCATCGCGTTATCGGAAGGCACTATAGCCGCTGTTAAAGAAACATTAAAGCGCATAACAACGGCATTTTCTGAGTTTGAACAAATTCAGGATGAAATTGAGCAATTAGTAATTGGGGACGATAACCTCCCCGAGCAATATGCGTACCGAGCCGATATCGATAGCACTTACCTTGATTTATATAGCCGATCACAAGAAATCGTTCTCGTACATAGTCCCAAACAAATTTTACCTAGTGATAGCAGTAGCAACGGCGAACCGCCGGGCTCAAACGTATTTGATCTAAGTAGTACGCGGTCAAGTTTCTTAAAATTGCCAACGATTCCATTGCCTATATTCGACGGTACTTTGCTAGACTGGTTAGAGTATCGTGAAACCTTTAACTCATTAATTAATAATAATTCTAAACTAGATCCCATTGAAAAATTCCACTATTTAAAATCATCAGTTTTAAAAACACCTAAGGAAATAATAGAAGGTATAGCGTTTACAGCTGATAATTATACCCTAGCTTGGGATTTAATCTGCGATCGCTTTAATAATAATAGGCGTCTCATTGATTCACACGTAGAAGCTCTTTGTAATTTGCAACCTCCTCAAAATGAATCAGCCTATTTATTAAGAAAGGTTCTTGATGGCATGAATAAAAATCTGCGTGCGTTAAAATTATTAGGTCAGCCTACTGAACACTGGGACACATTAGTGGTCTATCTCATTTCTCGTAAATTCGATGAAAAAACATTTAGGGCTTGGGAAGAATATAAAGCAGAGCGACCTGCAACTACAATTAATGACTTAAAAACATTCTTACACAACAAGTGCGACTTATTGGATTCTTTAGGTCATAAATCTACCCCTAATAAAAATAACTTTAAATCCATTAAAACTACCTCTAAGAATTTTTACGTCTCAAATACAACATGTACCATCTGTAAGGGCACTCATCCTACTTACAATTGCAAAGAACTAATACATTTGGCGCCAGCAAATCGCCTGGAGTTTGTCAAAGCTAAGGGGCTTTGTATTAATTGCCTTAAGCCAGGTCATAAATCTATCGATTGTAAATCTAGTAACTGTAGAAAATGTGGTCGCAGGCACAATACTTGTTTACACACAGATCGAACAGGTACACGTAATTTAAATGACATCAATCCAGAATCAAGTAGTGCCAATCATGAACCTACCTCGAATTTAGTTACAACAAACACTAGTAATTCACTTCATCAAGCATTCGATGTTCAAACAAATACGCATGTATTACTTTCTACGATTTTGGTTAAATTACGTGATAGATTTGGTAACACTCATGAATGCAGAGCCTTATTGGACAGCGGCTCTCAGTCTAATTTTATAACGCAAAAATTGTGTAATAAGATGCACCTGTCAAAATCGGAAATTAATCACAGGGTTAGCGGTTTAAATTCGGCCTCTACTCAAATAAATTACCAAACAAAGATTCAATTAATGGCTCGGCATAACAATTTCGCACTAGATCTCTCTTGCCTAGTTATTCCAAAAATATCAGACCAACTTCCTTCTATATCATTAAACAATGTAAATCTTACATTGCCCAATGTGATTTTGGCTGATCCTACGTTTACCCGACCAGGCCCTATCGATATATTAATCGGGGCTGGTAACTTTTTTAACATATTGTCGGTTGGTCAAATCTCATTAGGGGCAGGAAAACCAATATTACAAAAAACCCTCTTTGGGTGGGTCGTTTCCGGACCTCTACAGCTTACCAGTCATATAATAAATCAATCTGTCTCTCAATGTAATTTTTCGAACGACTTAGCTCATAACTTGTCCCAATTCTGGGAAATTGAAAATATTTCAATGCCTACATCGGCTACAATGTCCAAGGAAGAAAACTTCTGCGAAAAACATTTTGTAGAACACACAAGACGCGATGCAGATGGTCGATTTATAGTAAACATTCCTTTTAAACGTGATCCTAAAATATTGGGAAATTCTTATGAAATCGCCAGGAAACGCTTTTATGCTCTTGAGCGCAAATTTAATTCAAATGCGGAATTAAAAGAGTCTTATATTTCATTTATAAATGAATATATTGAGTTAAATCACATGAGTTTAGACAATAATCGTACATCCGCTACTCATTCACATTATTTCCTTCCGCATCATGCGGTAATTAAAAATCACAGTCTAAGTTCCAAAACAAGAGTTGTATTTGATGCATCCTCAAAAACCACGACAGGCATATCTCTTAATGATATTCAAGCCATAGGTCCCGTTATCCAACAAGACCTTTTTTCTATTGTATCTCGTTTTCGCAAATACAACGTTGCCGTTACTGCCGATGTAACAAAAATGTACAGGCAAATTCTCGTTTCTCCTGAACACAGATCACTTCAATCCATTTTATGGCGCCAGAATTCTAATGAACCGTTAAAAATATATAATTTAAACACAGTCACTTATGGCACAGCATCTGGTTCTTTTCTTGCGATAAGATCTTTGCAGCAGACAGCCCATGATCATAAATACATCTATCCTCAAGCCTCTCAAGCCATCCTACGGGATTTTTATGTTGATGATTTTTTATCGGGTTGCGATACATTAGACGAGGCGATAGAGTATATAAGACAAATTTCTGAAATTTTATCATCTGGATGTTTCGAGCTTAGAAAGTGGGTTTCAAATGAACCCCAGGCCCTACAATTCATTAAGCGTGATTCAGAATTAAAAATATTACAAATCGGTGAAAATGAAAAAACAAAAACCTTAGGTTTATGGTGGAATCCCAAAGACGACGCGTTTGAATTCTCAATTAGCCTTGATTGTGTTAGTAATTTAACAAAGCGAAAAATACTTTCATGTATAGCACAGATTTTTGATCCATTGGGACTATTGTCACCTGTCGTCATTCAGTTCAAAATTTTTATGCAACAATTATGGCAATCGAAAGCCACTTGGGACGAATCGCTCCCTCAAGCTCTCCAAACGCATTGGTTAAAGCTTTATAATCAATTACCTCATGTAAATAACATTCAAATTCCGCGACGCGTTATTATTTCGAAACCAAAAGTAGTCGAATTGCATTGCTTTTCTGATGCAAGCCAAAATGCTTACGGCGCATGTCTTTACATTAAATCTGTAGATAACGAAGGCAATGTGCAGGTTAAACTGTTATGTTCAAAAACAAAGGTGGCACCTATAAAAATTTTGACCATACCTAGATTAGAACTCAGCGCGGCATTAGTGTCTGCCGAACTCGCAAAAAAGGCAATAGAATCGTTGGATGTAAGGTTAGCAACTGTTCGATATTGGACAGATTCAACTATTGTTTTGGCTTGGCTTCAATTAGAGCCAAATCGCTTAAACACCTTTGTCGCCAATAGAGTAGCGGCTATTCAATCTTTAAGCGATTCAAATTCTTGGGGGCACGTATCAACTGCAGATAACCCCGCGGATCTGCTATCTAGAGGCATAAGTCCGAGTCAGTTGCAAGAAGTTTCATTATGGTGGGAAGGCCCACCGTGGCTCCACAAATTAAATATTACCTGGCCAATCGTTAATTGTGACTTGGAAGAAATTCCCGACATAAAAACTACGAGTGTTAGTTTAGCCAGCATTAACGAAGAATCATTTTTTAAGTTTAAAACTTTCTCGTCACTAAACAAATTGAAACGTATAATGGCATATATTTTGCGGTTTTGCTCGCCAAAGCCAAATCGACTTAGCGGCCCTTTGTCGGCAACAGAATTAGACAAGGCATTTAATATACTTTTGCGAGTTGCGCAAAGGGAATCGTTCTCACAAGAATACGCTAAACTATCACAAGGTAAAAGTCTTGGGTACAAAAATAAATTGTCGGCATTAAATCCTATTTTTGATGATAAATTGATCAGGGTGGGGGGCAGATTAAGCAATTCTAATTATACTTATAATAAAAAACATCCGGTTATTTTGGATGCTAAACACCCTCTCGCGACATTATTATTTTCATATGAGCAT